TCATTTCACAAAATTTTTAAAGATTTATCTACATATATTATATTATACACAATATTACATTAATGCATAATATATAAACATATTTATTACAAGTTGAATATTTTTTTGACGAGAGCTTATAACAATTTTGAGAGACATTACAATATTTTAATATAATTATAATATTCAATAATGATATTTATTATTTTTAAATTTAATGTGTATAATAATATATGAAATTACTTTTATCATTTTTAGTAATACTAAATAATACCCATTTTTATTCTATCTTTTTTAACAATCATATGTTTCATGAGTAAATAATATGTGAATCCTTCCGTAATTAAGCAAATATTCACATTTATTATAACATCAAAAATATATATAAATATAATTTTATTTTTATTATATACTACATAATATCTATAGCTAAGGACCACAAACTTAACTAGTAATTAGCAATAAATAAAACGGATAGAGTATAGAGTATAGACCATAGACGGTAGTGATGATATTATGAAGCTCTAAAACAAGTTGTGTATTCGAATCGTTTTTTTTTTTCTGTAATAATTGTATTATAAAATATAAAAGTTATAAAAAAATGTCACCGTCTGCAAGTACACCTATTATTGTAACAATAATCGGATACTATCATATTAATCATCCTAGTAGTTTATGCATGTGAACACTAAACGACTAAACTATAAAGAGACTAAACTGGTTGTCACACTGACATTATGGCTCGAATTTATAACTATATAGTTATAAAATATAGACATAGATACATAATAATATATTTTGTGTAGTATGTGCACAAAATAATATTGGTTCAGATAGTAAAGAATGAAGGATAATCAATTTCTAAAAACGGTAAAAAAACTAGTACACATCCACTTTCTGGAAGATTTTTAGTCAAGTCCGATACCTATACTTATCCTACATTGTAATATAAATATCATATAATAATACTTCGTGGTTCAATGTCTCTTCTCATTTATTTACACAGTATGTGTCTATGTACTGTTCTAGGCTGCTTCATATAATTTTTTATTTGTAATTTAATATACATTAGACTTTAAGATTTGTATTAAATGTAATATTGTTATTATTTTATCGATCAGGTAAATGAAATAAATAATAACATAAAAAGATAAATTAATACGCGTTGTGTACGCGCTGTGTGGCAATATTCTACTGGGAGTAGAGACTAATAACACAACATGCCATCTGTCCGATGGCCTAGGCGTCATTTTTTCGTTATCCCTGAAAGTTGAACTTACCGAAAATATTTATATTATTTTATACGTATGCGCTGTGCTAGTATAACAAAATTTAGCTTAACAAAAGACATTTCAAACCTAAGACAACGTCGTCGCGTGTTTTATAGTATAGTAGTATTATTGTAATTCAAATTCCCAATGTACCTAACTATGTTATAGCTGTAATAATAGATGGAATAAAAATACTAAAAATTTATCTTCTAATTTGTATAGGCCTACTTAGCCGATCGTTTGGAATCTTTGAGATTGACAAATTAAGTTTTGAAGAAAAGTTTTGCTATTAGAGTATTTGCTATTTAATCTATTTATATTTTCATAAATCTATAATAATTAGTAAAGTTTAGGTTAATGTCAGTTAATAGTAAAAATAAATACTATAATGGCTTTAAAGACGGATCCAAGAGGGGGGCAAAGGGGGCACCTCCCAAATTAAATAAAAAAAGATATTATTGGGCCAACCTTTTTGCTTTTTTTTATCTGATGACCTTTTTTTTTTTTTTTTGCTTTTTATGTCCGCTCCCCCATGGAAAAATTTCTGGATCCACCCCTGAATGGCATAAAACACCATTACAACACAAATACTTAGCATTCAATAATTTGAATTTATACATTCAAACATTGATAGATGACAGTAATAATTATTGTTTTTATCGTTGTTATCGATCAAAAGCTACAGTTTACCATCGCTCGGACAATTATTACTAACCATCACATTAGAGTAAATTATATAACTGTATAGATCTAAAAATAATTGCCAACAAAATAATCGATTAAAAATTGCCACAAACCTTATCAGTTATCATAAACAACTATTAATATGTATCAAATATAACATTCAATTAAAAAAAACAATCATCATCATTGTCATATATTTGTGACAAAACAATATACTATGACTGATTGTATAATCTAATATAAATATAGCTTTTTTTTAAGAGAGTCTTACCCCCGAATCTCTCTTTTTAGGTGTCCACTGGACACTAACTCTATCGATAGACAATGGTTGAATAGGAAATATATGATTTTATTAAAAGTAAAAATATTTTATTTATATATGATGATGGATTTTTAATGATAGTTACACAATTATTATTGAGTACCTATATTCTATATTAATATATAGATTGTATTTTGATTGTGTATGTATTAAAATGTACACATCAACATCAAACACTGATAATTTAATTTGATATTTTTTTCTACTTCAGCTTATCGTATATATGACTGAAGAAAATATAAATAGTGCAATAAAATTTTTATAATAAAGGATTAAAAATAATAATTTTAACATACAAGCTATAAATTACTGAAAAAAAATAACGATTCAAAAATTATGTATAACGTTACTACAGATATTTGAAATATTAAATTATTACAATTGTATTTAAATTCTGTTCTAATGTATCTTCACCTAAATGGTTAAATACATACATCAACCTCACAACACCTGTATATATACCAACACACGCATACATAGACAAAAAATGTATAATTTATAATACATATATTGTCATATTGGTATAAGAGTGGTGACATTTATATCACCATTAAAATAACATATACAATATATACATATACTTCTGTTGTAATTATTCCAAAATATTAAAATTCAAATGTATAAATTAGATTAAGTCAACACGTACCTATAAAATCAAAAGGTATACAATACTAATTACTTAATTATTTATGTTATTCACAGTAAAAAATTGAGTAACATTAAGAAATAATTTAATAAATTCCGGTAACTCACTCTGCTGTATAGTAAATAGATGTCGAATGTACCTCCAACCTCGTCATCAAGTAGGCCACAGTATTACTATAATAATATTTTAATTAATAAAAATTAAAATAAAAATAAATTTATAATTTTATAAATATTTGTAGAAATTCTAGAAATATAATTAAAAATACTTAAAATATAATTCAATCCTATATGGCTATAATACTATATACTACTATAAATAATAATAATACAATTAAGATTATCAGACTAATGAGTTTTAAGTACAAAAAAACTCATTTAAACAGTGAATTTACTACAGCAAAATACTCTCACGTTTCATGAAATAATCAGATTTTAATAATTTTTTATTTTATTCAAACGATGAAGACTTAAAACTTATAATACATATCCTATGCTTATTATGCTACTTAGTTTTGGAAAAAAAATAATACAATGTTTATAGTTATACTTTACACCATTGTTTTTTTTCCAGCGTATTCAAGTCAAAGAAATAAAGCATCCATTTCTATTGAAATTAAAATTTTTTTTTTCTTTGCGTAAATTACCACGTGGTTGGGTCAACATTATCATGGTAACAATAAATATGACTTCATTATGTTATCAAATATTTTATTAACCAATATAGATTAATCAATCTACTTAAATAAAAAATAATATTAAAGTAAAAAATAAAAAAATAAAAATACTTAAAATATAATTTTTATTTAACAGTTTTTTCGGTGTATGTGAAGATTCAATAGACAAAATGCTTTAAGATCACTTTTATTCCCTCTGGTGAGTACACCACTAATTGGAAATCTTTAACTTGTTCATTTATTAATAGGAGGTATAAAAGCAAAAGAATAAAATGACGAACCACCGCAATTGCGATATATAACCTCTATTTTTAAAGCACCCTCTAATATTGAAATAAAACACTATAAATAATTATAAAAATGCTTTTAATAATATAATTTATAGCGGAGGCGTAATTTTTGTTTTTGTTTTAATATACGAATAAAAATAAATTATAAAAATATGCCGGCCACCAACTCTGTCAAGAATGTATCTATTTTTCACACTAATCAATTTAAGAATTGCGCCAAATCACAATAATATTGGATTTTAAATATGCTAATGATACCTTGCGTGGTCCAAATGACACCACTGATGAATAGTGATTAAGTTAGGGTTGAGTGATGTCTATATGATATTATGATTATATGTTTTATGTACTGAAAACATATTCGATAGGTGCTACAAAAATAATATTAGTTATCATTGATTTATTATAATATCAGTCATCACCATCGAATTCGATTTACAAAACTAATATTAAACTTATATGTTGTTTATTTTGAAAACGTATCAGCAATATGAGTTGTAATAAATTAGTACTCTTCTCTAGTAACATATTTCTTTGACTCGTTTACCCACCGGAAAACCGAAAATAAGGTAGGTAAATGGGTAAATAGATTTTCTATAGTTTGGCGTACATCATAGACAACCCGAAAACGTAATGCGCAAGACCATTGGCGGGGGGGGGGGGGGGGGGGGGGGGGGTGACGGGCGTAATAATAATAATAATAATAATAATATTAAAACAACATAAAACAACAGCCGACGAGATGACGAATAAAAAGCGAAATCGACGGTGACGGTCGCCAGGACGCCGCCGGGAGCAGCTACAGCTGGAACGTCTGAGCAGTAGCAGCAGCAGCCGCAGCCGACGGCCTCCCGTCCACCCGTTCGGCCCGGCTGTCTGTGGGACGCCGCTGAAAGCCCGTGTGGGTGTTGCGCCGAAACGAAATCGAGCGAGCGGATCCCTGCCGCCGACAGTCGTGCCATCACAGCAGCGCGCCAGCTCGCGCGCCCGGCCGTCAGGTTGGTCACACCCGGAGCGCGGCGGTCAGCTGCCGGTCTCCGCGCACGCCGCACGAGTCGCGGCTCACACACACACGGACGCGGTACACGCGCACGCATACGCACACACGCCCAGCCGATTACTCAATAGTCGATATCGCGCGCGCGCACACGGACGGGCGTCAGTTCCCGGTCTGCGCTTGCCCTGTAACCGCTCTCGTAGTCGCAATTCGCAAGCGCGCGGCGGTCCCCCACCCGAGCAACCGCTGTAGCCTCCGGTTCGATATTATTATTCGTTGTAATTTGCCGCGAGCGCGCGCGCCAGTTCGGTGTTTATATTAATCCGTCGCCGGTCGTGTCATTATCGCCGTTGTCGTAGGTTCTTCGGACGCGGTTTCCCAAATAAATCACCCGGATTACTTTTCGTCCCCCCCCTCACAGCACGCAGAGCCGTATTTTTCAAAGTGCGCGAGTTTTTGCGTTAGTCTGCGAGTGCGTGCGGAAAAGTTTTCCCGGTACACGTCGTAAGAGTTCGCGTCCGAAAGTCTGCGGCCCACGGCCTGTCCACCGGGTGCGGTAGCCTGCGAGTCACCGCCGCTGTCGTCGTCGTCGTCGTCTTCTTGACAGACACCTTCAGCCTCAAGATATTTACCGTAACATGCGTCACTTCGCGTACTACCGAAGATGGTATCGATGACCGGCACAATACCGGTACGGCACCGTTGCGGTTAACGGCGGTCGGTGGTGCGATTCCGTCCCGGCGCGTATAATAGCCGCGCGCATTAAGATTTCAGCCCTAGCGAAAGTCGGCCGGAAGATGGGCTGCGCTATGTCGGCGGAGGAACGGGCCGCCCTGGCCCGGAGCAGGCAGATCGAGAGGAACCTCAGGGAGGACGGCCTGCAGGCGGCCAAAGACATAAAACTGCTGTTGTTAGGTGAGCAAACATCATACTCCGCCCTAGCGGCGACGTTCCTTTCGCAGGAAAATCCCCTTCACCGACGGAGATGACGACGCGGACGTCTTGTCGACGGTGGCGTGCGTACGTCTTATTCTCAATTTTTCATTTTTATTTTTCGCGCTTAAATTGTATTATTTGTTTAAACATGCGAAATGCACTTTTCTGGTCGAATGCATTATTATTATTATAACTGTTATTCTTTCGTCGCATGAACACAGCCGCACAGGACCACACACATATACGCAAACATACTACACAATCAGTGCTATACCCGTCATTCTGGGTCACGTGCATGGAGACCAGACCGAGAGAGGCTTTTTGGCAAGGTACCCACCCAGTGTCCCGTCGCTGTGCGTGTGTGTGATTATTTTGGTGTTCCGATAGAAACCCGTCGAGTAACTGTGTCGTTGTGTGTCCCTTTGGGTCGTGTGTCTGGTGTAATATTCTTAATTTTTTTTTATTTATTTCTGGCAAATGTTTGAAGGTCGGACGTTGTCGAGTTCGTATTTCCTCGTTTTAACACATTACGGTGGTAACGTCCTTTCGACCACGGGTGGTGGAGCTTTTTTTTTAACATCGTCATTATGTACCTAAAAACAATGATGACGATTATGCACGCTCCGTCGCCGCCACAAGTGCACACTTGACGTCGTTTTTTCGCTCTGCACTTTCCCGCCAGTCATGGTCCGATCGTTGAATCCTCTCAGAAATACGCGAGGGTGGAGGTCCTGTCTGTTGTTGTGTTGAGAGTGGTTTGTAATGGTCTCGAACGGGGGAAAATGAAGGCGGGGGAGATCAAAAACAAACCACTAAATAACCTATCATTTTCCCATCGAGAGAGCATAATATATAATATTGTAATATATAGATAATAGGAGATACCTACCTTGCGCACACGTACGTATATTTATAATATTATAATAATTATATATAATAATATAAAAGATGTGTTGGACGGACGGTTTCTGTCAGAAGTGGCACTCCCGTGTCGTTCATCCCCTCCCAGCAGTCGGCCGCCACGCGCGAGAAATCGATTTTCCTCCACCATCGCCGCCACCGACCCTTTTGCGCACACTACGGATAATGGTAACATCTATATATAATATATATATATATAGGTATATGTGAGTGTGTGATATTAAACGCGTACTAGATTTTTTAACGTTCGAGTTTCTCATAAACATAGTTTTTTATGGACGGGTTGAAACGGGAATTAATCACCGAAAACGAAAAAAAAATACTTATAAACCATCGGGTTGTGTGTATTTTTATAATTTGAGATGAACGTTTATGTGAAGTACCGAGTAGCACCATGCACACGCCCGTTTTTGAAGTATAAATATTTTAATAATATAAATCGTATCATTGTACGATTGTCGGTTATTCTGATTTTCGTTACTCCCGTGTAGATAATAAATCTCCTTAATGTTATCAAAAATAAAAGAAAACTAGGACACATTCTTGGTGTGGCCAAAATGTGTATGTTTTTATGACGCTACTTCTATAACCGTTGTAAATACTTGTAATTGTTTCAAAAACCAATCAGATAAAAACAAATACCTATAATGAACGCCCGCCGGTTTGAAAATGTATAAATATCATTATAATATTATACTCTATGGACGTTACATCACGAAGTATCAGAAAAATGTTTTGCGTCTGGCAAAGCGATAGTTATATAAAATTATAAGATCTTCTCTAACAATAATAATAATATCATCTAATAATAGTAATAATGTTTCATTGCATGATGGCTACTGACGCTACTGTGTTGTAATTATATGTTGCACTGGCTCTGACAACCGGTTGTCGCTGTTAAAAATTGTATACAATTAGTAATTGATTTGGTCATTATATCGTGATGATGATGTAATCATATAGAACCAAATTAAAAATTATTATTTCTGAGATTTAGAATAAAATATTTATTTTTTTTTTATTAATGTTTTTAGGATCAATTATAACAATAACCCATTGCTTCAACTTATAATAGGATATCTAAATTAAAAGTTTATTAAAGGTTAAATATTCTACACGAGTTAAACACTATAATACTTGGTAGGCGATCGTTTTTTTTCTAGTTTCCTATACATTAATTTTATAGAAAAACAGTGATCCATTTCATAAGTATATGAGGTATAATAATTTTTTGTTTTTAAATACAACGTTTAATCAAGCTTAAGATGTACTTATAAAATTTTAAATCAACAAATAGATAATTAATGTTATTATTTCAGGTGCTGGAGAATCAGGGAAAAGTACAATAGTCAAACAGATGAAGTGAGTTTTATATTTCAATAAATATTATTATTAATTAATTTAAATTATTATTTATACATAAAAGACGCCTATAATGAGTACAACTTCTTTCAATACTAATGCTGCATATATTCATAGTAGATTCATACTATACATATTGTTTTACTAATTGAAATAATTGAATATGATTTTACAAGTGGTACCTATTTAGCATTTTAGCATAAACAAATACTCAAGTTTATTATTTAGTTGTAGCTCATTAGTATTTATAGGTGAGATGAATTTTATTAAATTTTATTTTAAATAATTTACGAAATGTTTTCGATATTTTACCTTACTTAATTTTATAATTTATGTATAACTATATTTAAATATTTTTGTTCAATTTTCTTATTACCTACTTTAAGACACTATACTGAATTTAATTGAAATAAATATTTTCCTATATATTATAACAAATTTTTTAAGTGTAGATTACAAAAGCAAAGCTTAAGAACATACAATGTTGTCAATAAGTAAAGAAGTAATTAGATTGGACGAAACAGTAAATAATATTTAAACCAAAATTATGGTTGTTATATTCGTGTAATGATGTGAGAAATTACATTTAAGAAAAATTTATATGTCGAGCGAGGCTACTCATGTGTGAAAACGATTTATTTTCAAATAGTTTTTTAAGATATAATATAGCGTCGTCATCCATCGTTTGCTAAGATTAATCTTATGATTAATATTGATCTTGTTAAAAGTGTAATGTGATTTATTTTGTTTGGTTAAATGTATGTATATACATTTTTTTTTTATGTATAACACAAATTCAAAATATGATAGACAGACTTTGCAAAAATGTTTATCTAGTTTTTTGTTGTGTTATAATAATATCTTATTTAAACAAATAATCAATATAATGTTTAAAATAAAATCATTAGGTATACAATATAAACATATAATATGGTACTTTTTTATTTGTTTTGTATTATTTAAAATTATTTGATAAATTAGGTAAGGTTTAAAGTATAAACGAATACTGTGATTAATCATATTTGTAATGATAATAACATAAGTAATAACTAATGAGTAATACAACTTTTAAATAGTTGGTGGTACTTCCGTTAACTAATTTTTTTAATATATAACTATTATAAACAAAAATTATTATCTTTTAAATATAATTAAAATAATTATATTTTTTGTTTCATGAATCTATTATTTTTTTATAAATGATTTAAGAATACTCATTTTTTAATTTATAATAATTAATAAACAATATTTCCAAAATCAAGTGTATAAAATTATAAATCTTAATTAACATTAAAATTTAAAAACAATTTAAAAAAATATTTGCGATCTTTAGGTTTGTAGGATAATTAAGAATTTTTAAACTATTTTAGAGTTAAAGTATAAAAAATTCAAAAAATACTCGATAAACATAAATAGAAGATTGTTTTTACCCATGTGTAAATTACGTTCTATAGTTATTTTTTTTAGAATGTGTTGGTTTTGTTTAAGAACCTTCAATGTTGTGTAAAATTTATATTTATTAATTTTTATCAATGTGCTTATAATAACTATAACAATTAGTAAATGCATAATATATTGAGCTAGGTTTAACAATAATAATTATTGATAAATTTTTGAAAAAATTACACCTCTCTTACGTTTCTAGAATAATTAAACATGGGTAGGTAAACATTGAAGAAAATACGATTGTATATTATGCAATTGAACGTTTTTTCGTAAATTTTAATAAATGTGCAATATTTGCAAAAATACAAATTTCTACAACTATATAGGTACGGAAAGACCGACCACGCCCTGGTATTAAAAGCAACGATGTTAATGTGTACCACAAAACATGGTTTGATGACTCCTCGGCGTCGGTGGCCGTGCAGGATCGATACTCCCTCGCGCACCCGTCTTGCTGGGCACACAAACGTCACCGACGGCCGCCACTATACCGGCACATCAATGACCAGTTCTATGGTTTGGAACGTGGATTTTTCCGAAAAGCTTACCACGACAATAATGTTGTATTTATAGATGCCGGAAATTGCTTTCACATTGAAAATATTGTAATGCCATATGTTTTCTTGCAGACGAATCGACATAAAATACAAAAATATTTTTAACATATATATATATATACATTGATATTTACGATCTCTGATGTACACTGAAGTGTGTGCAATGGAATGCAAACTTTATACGAGTTAATGGCGAGTTTTTTAAATATATATTAAACAAACAAACGCCAAGAATTACAAATATAACATAAACGTATTGCACATGATTTATATTATATCAATAAGTATATAACTCAAATTCATATTAGTAATCATTAAAAATGAAAAACAATAACTGTTTTATAATAATAGTTAGATTATTAAAATATTTAACTACTCAAATTATTGACTAATCATTAAGAGTTAATAGCAATAATTGTAAATTGACATAGTTTGAAAGGTTGATGGGGATCATTTCGTCAATGTGGAAAATATTATTTATTTTAATATTTTATCAATTTACAAACAATTTTAACAACAATAATATTATGTTCTGTCGTTTTGGTTTATAATGTAAAGCTATTCTATATTATAATGGTCAGTTTTAAGGAGTACTATGATAAATAATAGAGGTTTAAGCACCATTTCACTGTTAATAATAATTATAGTATACCTATAATGAAAATGTCAATATTATTATTGAAAAGCGGTCATTGCACTGTTAACGATTTTTTGGAAGACATAATATTATGTCATAACCTAACTATTAATTTTTTATAAATCCAATTTGTGATAGTAAAATATCTGTGAAAATCATATTATTAATTATTTTTTACATTTGTGTACTTCCGTACAACTTAATATTTTTAGAAAATAACATACAATTCATAATATGTTAATCTTATTGATATAGCGTTTTACTATGTAGTCGTACCTAATCCTTCATCATGAAATTATATAATTTAGATTTAAATAGAGTTTATTTTCTACTATTGTTATAATTTTCTCTGTCATGTAATTAAATACATATTTCAGATTTTTATTCTTTTTTATTAAAATATATTTTTCAATGAACTTGTGTATTTTCAGAATTATTCACGAGAGCGGTTTCACGTCAGAAGACTTCAAACAATACAGGCCTGTGGTATTCAGCAACACAGTTCAATCGCTGGTTGCCATATTGAGAGCAATGCCAAATCTTGGAATTGGATTCGGCACCAACGAACGGGAGGTAAGAAAAGCAAGTATTTTCTTTTAAACGATTTGTTAGTTCAAATACATTTCTTCAATTTCTGTTTGAGCTTAAATAGTGGAAAAAAAATAATCATATCCTATTATATAAATCGTCTGTATAATTTAATACTGGGTTTATAAAACAATAACCAATATTGTGTAAAATATTAATTAATATTTTACAAGAAAGCGAAAAATAACTTGGCGTTATTTCACATTTTTCATCAAAGAATTCACTGTTCATAACACAAAATTGTGTTCTCCATCATTGTAAACCACTCGACGACGTAGTCGTTAGACTACATGTAATTATCTTTCTAATCCCATCTTTCATTATCAATAATACGATGTTTTCAAGTACATACCATGTAATCGCTACCTGGCAAATTGAATAATATGTTCATTTTATCGTACTTGTACTCGTATGTGAACTTGGATAATTTTAAAAGTTGTTTAATTTAATTTTGGGTTTTTTTTCTTCAAATTTTAATGAACATTTTAGGAAAAAATTCCTGGAAAGGAATATTTATACCAACTTATTTTACGAGCATTAAATAATATTAGTACTTATAATACTACCACTATTATACTTAGATACGGACTTTAATAATATTAATGTTGATAATACGTTTTGGACTTTGGTCATAACACGCGATCATATCGTGGTAACGCACGCAAATCGTAGGTAAAAAAAAAAAGTAATACTTATAATTTAATTTATTTTACTAATGGTATTGAGATAGCGGTATACTATGTGGCGCCATAATATTTAAAATTGTCAAATGTGTAGTTCGTATGGTTCAATGACATTTTTCAAACATACCTATTGCTGCCTAATCAATTTGAACGGTCTTTAATAGTTTAATTTTATCATCCACTGTACATATAATGATAATGATTATCAAAGTTTATAATTTTCGAAAATCATTTTAATAAATAATGTGACACACACAATGTGTGTATAAATATAAATAATAAAATGTACTAATATTTTTCTTGGGATATTTGATACGTAATACTAAATTTAAATTATATGAAAAGCAAAAAAAGTTAAAACGAAAATGTAACGGGCTATTTTATTGATTTTTTTGGGCTCCTTGTGAGATAATCATTATAGGTATAATATGATAATACTTAAAAACTATATTATCATTTCGTTAAAGTATACACAAGTGAAGCGAATTAAATTCAAGGTACAAAGTTTTCCCACAGGGAAATTAACGTATTGACGTGATTACTACAATGTAGGATATATTTATATGTGCACGCACACACACATACATATCGTGCATGACATAATATAAATATATATAATATATATAATATATATGTATGAATGTTGTACACCCACGTAATATAGCGAATTAATTTGACCTACGATCAGCGACAGTTGCTGTCGGTGGCAATCTCGGAAATGAATTAAATTAGGTGTGTAGCGCGCACGCGCGATCGCGCATGCCGCGGGGGAGTGTATATAGGGCCCGATAACAGCAGCAATGTTAAAGTTAAATACTGTGTATAATAATATAGTGTCCTAATTTTGGTTATCATAATTCACACGCAATCGGAAAGCACGAATAATATTGTCGTTATTGTTTAATTTTTTTAATAATCCTGAAGTATATACGGGTTGAAACGGCTATAGAATAAAAATAGAATAATGAAAGCGAATACGAATTAATCGATAGGAATATGGTGTACTTCCTAATATGTATTATCTATATTATGTCGATTAAAATTAAAATTAAAAATATACTTAACTTATTAGGACTTAGTACATTTTTTCCTCCACTTGTTAATGAAACATTACAAATTTATAATAATGTCCCTTAATTAATTTATCGACAGTGAAAACAAAATATTAGTTATCCATGCACTAATATTAATACTAATACTGTAGTATATTTCTATTTCTGAGTAATTATTTTGACAGTAAGCACTCATTATTTTAAAAAATATTATCGAGTTTGAAATTTTTTTTTACATATTAATGTAATGTTATTACAGAAATATAAAAAAAACCTTTGTTTAAAAAAAAATATATTTTGAATAATAGCATACATTTTTAATTTCAAGTTTCGAAGCAAAAATATTTTTCGAGGTATACTCTTGTGCTGCTGCTTTCTGTAGCTCTACTTGTCTGAATTTTAATACTTATAATTTATAAGTTATTACAGTTATAACTTATAACTAATTTAACTGCTTCATTAAAATCCAATTTATAAACATTGAAATTCCCAGACAAAACATTCTGTTCTAACATCCAGTTTCGGAAGTAAATAAAGCTTTTCACTAATGAAAAAAATATTTATTTCAAAAACGCTTTTACTTTTGTGATATAATGAGTGTCATACATTATACATTTTTTTTAAAGTCTACTTCTAAGAAGAATTACTATATTGACCGCGCTTGATGACTAATATACTAAAACCTAAATAGGCTTATACATATTATATATTATGTTGTATTTCAATTGTTTTATATGCCTTATATTAATAAAAAAGGAAATATTTTCCAACATAATATATTGAAATACATTAATGAGAAAAGCACCATGCACATATCTGTAAGATTTTATGATATAAATGAAAAATTATTTTTTAATAATATAAAAATATAAAAACAATATGACTAAATGTATTTATCCATTTTTATTTTGTGTATAGTATAAAATTATAATAATATGTCATTGCGTACGTTCAGTTTGTTTGAGCGATAAGAAATTTACATATTTGTGAATAACAATAAAAATATCATAATATAAATGCTACATGGTTGTTAGTTGATGACGTCATAATTCATGGCATAAGGGCTTCACTAGATCACTTCATTCACATAATTTCTATGATGTAATTAAAACAACAATTTTTTAATTATTTCTAAGCGTATCTAAAAAAAATTACAATGTTTTTTTTTAAAAAAATTAACATAGTTCAGCTTGTGTGAATGTATTAGAATTGGTTATCTTTATTTAATTAAATATATTTCTAATATTATATTAACACAATGCATATTAACATTTTAAATACTACTTTTTTACCTAGTAAATACAAAAATAGATTTATCAGATATATTATAAAAAGTATAACATAAAAATTAAAAACCATTGAATTTTTAATGAAAAAGTAAAAGTAGATATTAATAGATCATTATTATTTAATACAGCTATCTTATTTGACCATAATTGAAAAAACAATTCTTTATATAGGTTTACAATCGCATCTGCTTTCCTTTTTCTTGTTAATATAATAAACACATTTCTAGGTATAAAATAAAATGTAAATCAATAATCATAATTTGTATACAAATAAATAAAATTAGTTACGAATTTTAATGAAACATAATATAGTTGATATTTTATTCTGGTATAAAATTGCGTGTGGTGTAGAACTTGCAGTAATTCTTTTTTTTTAAACATTGTTAGATTTTTGTCTATTTGACTTTACAATGTTTCAATTAATTAGATTTATACTGATCATTAAACATTATAACAAGAATACATGGACCAAAAAGGCAATGATCCCTTCAAAATCGTTAATATAACAATCCGATATCCAATATACAGATATAAGTAATTAATAAGGATCACATTGTACCTATGTCTTAAAATATAAATATAACGGTATAACTTTATTCAAATAAAAAATTTAACTAACTATAATACATTTTCCAAAAAAACATAAAATGTCTTAAAATTAATTTTTAATTGGGATTAAAGTTTTGTTTATGTATTTTTCATTTTTTTATTTCAATGACGTATACCTACATTAAATTTAAATTTACTAAACTAAGAATTTGAATTTTGAATACATATATACCTATTATTTTCATTAATTTCAACATGAACGGAATGTTAAAACTAGAAGTATCTTCAAACTAATTATCTCATTTAAATTTCAAAATGAATATTATCCAATCTATAATTATGAATAAGTAGGATGTATGAATATTTGTTGAACACTATTTATAAAGAATTTTTTTGGTTTTTTTCCTATAATATTTTTATTTGTTTTTGTAATAACCAATTGGATTTCAGATTATATGGAAATCGTCTACGAATACGAACACTTATAAATTATAATATAAAACAAAAATACATTAAATACTTTAACGTTATATGTAATTTATATTGTCAAATAGGTTTACTTTATTAGTAAAACATGTTTTTTTTTGCACATGATTTTATATAAATTATTCACAAATATTTTTAAAACAACCTAATAGATGTATGAAAAATGAGTAAATGACTGATAAAAACAAAATATAATCCTATCGATGTTTTTTCTGGCAGTATTCTCACATAAATAGTCAATATAATATTAAATTTACTAGTATTGTTATCTACTAGACTACAAACAACAGTTTTCAGTGTGTGTAAAATCTCTTTAATCGTACAACACTAATTACTGCTGAATACATATCTATTTATATGGTTAAAACGAAAATATAATTATGTTTACTTGTAATAGAAAATATTATGTTTGGGAACTAACTATTGAACTGAATGCTATAATATTAATAATTACTTATATAACATTATCTATGTATACTATATAAGTATATAATAACATTTTTTTGGGGTTATTTAGTATCTACCTTTGATATTTTTTTTTAAGTCATGTGTACATTACCAAATTCGATTACATTATTTATCACCTAATAAATTAATATTCATTTCAATGCCAAAATAACCATGGTATTAGTAGATTTTTGTTAAGTTTCTTACTATTATAATGGTTACTAATTTTTATGACTTGTAGATTTATTATTTACTAAAAATATATTGCATGTATAACTGATCAGTATAAAAAGGCTAAAAAGAGTTAGATATTGATTAATAAAATATAAAGATAACAACTGATATTGCGATGATGTACTATTGATAAATACCAGTAATAAAACTGTATCGAGGGTATTTAATATTATATAAATAATATTTACTTAATAAAATAAATGGGTTAAAAAAATTAAAAAATTGTCATGTCAGAATCTTGTTGAGCACTTGTCTTTCTTTACTCATTTTAATATACGATATATCATATTATTGTATTGTTATATTTCCTTTAATTTTTAATAGAACAGTTAAGATAATTGGAATTAAAAAAAATTTTTGGTGAATATTTATGTTGGCTATTTATTGCTGTTAAACACAAACTATTAAGAATATCAAAACTTATAAAAAATAAAATTTATTTACAGTTTATAATCCATAGAGATGGCTTTTACCATCCTAATTATTGATTCTTGAAATAAATCCATCGTATATTTTAAGTTTTCTCGCTTACGAGAATGATCTTAAACTACGCCATTTCACATTTTTATAAATTTAAACATTATTTTAATAGGTTAAAAATTGTTAGACTTTAAAATAAATTTAAAATTAATGCTTTGAACGTTTAAATTTTTGTTTATTTATCCATATTGTTAGGAATGAAAAAATTAATTATTTTTTATCAATAAGCATATCTACTAATTATTAGAGTATACTTTTATATGAATCTATGCTTGTTGATTTCAAAAAACATGATATTCCCAATTTTTCGTCATTATTTTTTCACACTTTTTGAATATTGTTTAATTTTCAAAACAAGATTTTCTTAATTTGTTTATAACCTAAACTCTAATATTATGCTTAATCAATTAAATATTAAGGTTATAACTTGTTTATTTACTTAAATATCCGAAACTAGGCAGCATTATATGATAACCTATTTAAGTACCTTTTTGATTATAAAATGATTTATTAATAAATAATAAATAATTGGAAGTTAGTAATGACATTTATAAAATAATTAAAACATTTTTTTTTAATATAATACCTCATTGTGAAATTAAATAAACATTTTATGTTATATTAACATATATATATATATATTAATTAATAAATGCCTCTGATAGGTACATAAAATAAAAACACAATTTAAAAAAAATATATTTATATAGGTACCAAAATAAATAATCGATCAACATATCAGCTAATTTAATTAAAAAATATGATTTTAAACAGTAAACACATTTAATAGACATTTAGACATAATATATATATTTATATAATAAATATTGAAGCTATTCAGTTGTATAACTACAATAAGTAATTTTAATATTTAAATAAATTATATATATATATATATATATATTCGTATTAATTCAACAAATAAGTTTCATGATATTTGGCTGTAGTTATTAGCTGTATGATTATGTAATTGAGACATAAAAATTATATTTAATGTTAAAGTGTATGATACATACTGTGTGTATTAGTATCTACTATTTATCTATATAAATATATTATAATATGTCTCTGTTAATACAAATGTATTCATTTGTTTTTATTTAAAAATTTATTATCAGTATTTTTGCTTATCATATTTTTTATTAGGTAGGTATATGTTATCAATATTTAATCGTTTTAAACCTTGAATGACCCTCATTATTTATTCGATAACTTTGATAATTTAAACGATCAGAAAATAACTTAAATCTTAAAATACATCCTTGTAAAACAACAATAAGCATTATTATAATAATGAACAAGTAGTTGATTAAGAAATAAAATACTAACATATCTCAATTATAAATAATAATATAAATATACTTATTATGAATCAAAATTTACAACACTAAGTAGGTATTATTGATTTTTGAACTTACAGTATTACAACTTTATTTTTAATTCATATTTATATCTTAATTTCTTATATTAGGTACTTACATTAGTAGATTATTTATGAAGTTAGTATTTTTTGTTATATTCGTTGACAAAACTTAGTTTGGGATTGTCTCACCACCACGTCATTAAATTATAGCCCTATCTTTAACCAATCATCTGTTGGTATTGTCAATCATGAAAATTTAGCAATATTATGGTCAATTTTTTTTTTTTTGTATATCATGTACAGGATGATTGAAAAATTTTAGTTAAAATAATGTTTTGTATTTTATTTATTGTATCATCATGTATATGTTGTCGATTCGTCTCTATTAATATAATGTCAAGTCATACAACCGTTATTTTAAAATATCGTTAAAATATATTTAAAAGAGTTTATTATCGTGATATTTAATATTTGAATTAATTTTACAATAAAAAAATTTTGTTAAAATAAATAGTTTCAGAATAATAAAGGTTCATAAGAAAAACATCTTATTTTTATTTATTTGTGTATAATTTTGAAATATCAATTTTTAACAATTATTAATTCTGCTACAAAATAACAACAAATTATTAATATTAACTTTTGTTTGAAAGATTGTTTTGGATTTATAAAACAATTTGAATAAGATGGATAGTTGCTTGGTGGCATAGTATGATGAATATCTTAAGTTGTGGTTGTTAAGTTAGATAAAAAAAAAACTTAAAAGTAAAATGTGTTTTTAATTCTAATTTTTTAAGGGATTAAATGAAATGTATTGAGCTTTTTACTTCCTTATAGTGTAAAACTCAAAACGAGTTATACAATACATATTGTAACGCCAATTTAAAAATTCACTCAAAAACTCAAATTTCAACTTTTATTACCTACTGAGAAAGATAAATTCCCTCCTTTAAGTAGCAAAATTTTCTGAAATGTCTTTTGCCATGTGACTGAACTAGGCAAAGAACAGCCAAGCGTCGAGCTCTATACAAAAATAAACAAAGTAAAAATTAGATTAAATTACTTAGTGTAATGAATAATCCCCTAATCGTGTATTGTACTAATATTTCTTTATAATATAATTTTTTAATTCATAAATATTCATTAATATTTTTTATTTTTTGGTAGACTGATGCGAAAATGGTATTGGATGTAATACAAAGGATGGAAGACACTGAACCATTCTCGGAAGAATTGCTGACTGCTATGAAGAGACTGTGGGCCGATCCTGGTGTACAAATGTGCTTTTCTCGGTCAAATGAATATCAGCTCAACGATTCTGCTAAATAGTAAATTGATACATTTTTTAAAATTATTTTACAACTGATAGTTGGTAATTTGTAATTCTAAGATCAATCATTAAAATTAAGAATTTTCAAAAAAAAATAAATATTCAAAATATTTTGTTTAGATATAAATAAATTAAAATATATTAAGATTATAACTTTTCCAATATTCATCAAGTTATAGTTTTATATTTATTAACATAAATTAAATATAACTATTTTTTTTATTGAATACATTTATGATCAAACGACCTCTGTGTTAATGCGTGTTGTGCCCAAGCCTTGGAGGGGTCATATTTTAAATGTTGAATGTTGGTATTAACTTTTTATTGGAGGTTTATGAATTTATTAAACTAATTAGTAATTAGTAATAATATTAAATGATTTGAAATAATTGATAAATAAAAAATAAAATCATATTTTTTTAAGTTCACTTATGAAAATAATATTAAAATTTAAGTGAAATTTGTCATTCAATCAGTATTTAAAAAAAATTAGATCAAATTAGTATTATAGAATTAGTTATATTTTATGAATTCTAAAAATTTAATCAAAAGACTTTTTAAATGTGAATTGTTTATTATTCTATCGTTACATTTGTATGTATAACATTTTAGTGTTATTTATATTGGAAATGATTTAACTCTCTATTTAAGTTCGATTTAAATTTAAATTCCACTAATATAACAGTCATATTTTTTATATTCTACCGCACTTTTTAATTTGTGAGGAATAAGTTGATATTCTTATCACATTTAGCAGCATGCTTCCAAATACCAAAAATAGTTTTATTTTTTACAGTAAAATTTTATTTTGTTCTAGAATAAGACACCATAATGGTGACTAAGCGTACTATTTTTTATAAAACAGTACTTTTTTTTGACGTATTGTTCATTAGTACCTATCTTTAACAACAGTGTTAAGTACGTGAAATTGTACTCATTTTCGAAAATAATGTGGGTTAATACACGATAATTATTTTTTATAATTTGATTATTCACTTATATTTTATGATTCGGCCAAATATATATAAATAGAATATAATATGTAATATTATTGAAATTAAATATGTAGAAAAATATTAATAAATATTTGTACTTAATTTTTTTTATTTTTTCAATAATTATACATTAAAATATTTCTCATACTTTTGACGTATTAAGTTTCAAAGTATTTTCATCATAATAAAAACACACATTATAAGTTAACATAATAATTAGTATTTATAGTTGATAATTAAAATTAAAAAAAATAGAGTTATCAGATAAAAAAAACGGTTTATATACATGGAGATGATCGATGAGAAAATAGGTAGAATAGTATACATATTGACCAATTCTTAAGTGATATGATTTTTATAATAAAGGAGCAAAGTTTTAAAAAATACTTTTTTTTTGAATTTTTGTTTCTAGTCATCATAACCATAATATTTACCTATTAATTAATACTTTTTTATTATAGCAAGGAGTGTTATAGACTATTTTAAAATAGAAAAACTAATTAATAAAGTCCAACTAAAAATAATTCGCATTTTATTCAAAATATTAAATACATATTTAAAATATTGAACTTCAAATATTTATTTTCTGGTGTAATATTATACTAATTATGGTGGATCTCCGTTTAATTTTGCCCATGTTTACAATTTTCAATTTTCATCATATTATGAACTTCGCTGACTTCTAGTTTTTAGACGCATTTCATTCGAAATTAATGGACGTTTATACCATTCCTTTAGAAAGCTGAGGAGGATTTCAGATTTTATTTGTTTACTTTGAAAAACGTTAATGTGATTCTTTGGAAGGGCCACAGCACAGCAGCTGCCGTTCTGTTTGAGCACTTCGAGCTCAATATTAGATATAGGGGTGCACGGTTAGTTTAGTTGCTAGTCGGGCGTGGTCCTCGATGACGTCAGTGGATCGATACCACCACCACCGCTGCCGTGTTACAGTGAGAAATGGAATAGGTGCACGAACGAAAAAAAAACATTACCGTACTTACCTGTTTCAGTTAACATCTATTTTTACGTAATTTTAAAAATATACATGCATAAACCACATTATTTTGACACTTCGTAAAAATGTATTATTTTCGCAGAGAAAAAATTAATGAACGGTCAGGTTAGGTTAACCTGGATTAACCTAAATGCAGTCACTTAAATCCACATAATCTTAGTCATTCACAGAGTGAATTATTATATAAGTTACATTTTATTAGTTTTATAGAATATATAGTTGATTATTATTTATTATTATAAAAATGATCTAAAAATTATAAAATTATCTTATGTTTGAAAAAAATTTAATTTTACAATGTTAGTTAAATAATAACTAATGATGGATAAAATATATCTTATTAAATTTATATGTCTATTATCAACTTTTTGAAGGGTATAAATTTAATACAATAAACATAATACGTATTACCTTTTAGACCCACATATCATTGAAAAGGTTGTTCACTTAACACCTGTGTTAATCCTAGTGTCCAATGATAGTTTTCCAAAAAGGATATATATATATATATATATATATATATATATATATATATATATATATATATATATTACAATAAGTATTTTGTTTTACTTGATATGTTTAAAGTGTAAAATTTTTAATAACAATCAATGAAAAATCTGTATCTTATAGTTTTAGGAAAATTGTTTATATTATGTTATAAATAATTACATTTAACATAGTAACAAAAATACAATTTCAAAAAAAAAAAAAATATTACACTTATTACAAACAAAAACAACCTATACTTTTATTTTGGTTTGATTAATTTAATATAATATTAAGTAATCAATCAAGTATGCACCATAATGATAATACATTTTTTTGATTTCTTAATCTATTTAGTATACGTATTTAGTTGTATACATTTAAAACCAATTTCAAATTATTTATACATATTATATTTATATTTATTTTATGATTGTATTATATCACATTGCTTATAAGTGTGGTATTAATCATTGTAATTTTTGTTTAGTTTTCTGGACGATTTGGATAGGTTAGGGTCCAAAGATTACCAGCCCACTGAACAGGATATACTGCGTACCAGAGTAAAAACCACTGGTATTGTGGAAGTGCATTTTTCTTTTAAAAATCTTAATTTCAAGTGAGCTTAGTTTTTGATAATAATTAGTACCTATTTTAAAAACTTAAAATAATAATTTTCATTCCATATTATCACAGATTGTTTGACGTTGGTGGTCAGCGATCAGAAAGGAAAAAATGGATTCATTGCTTCGAAGATGTCACGGCGATAATATTTTGTGTTGCCATGTCAGAGTACGACCAAGTGCTCCACGAAGACGAAACAACGGTAAATACTAAATATCCAAAATGTTATAATCTATGTTTTCTTATTTATATCGATTCAGGCTGACGAAAAAAAATAGAGACAATGACACACACGCACACTAACATAAACGAGATCATTAATAAATTGTCACATTTAGTAGTAATCATATGATCGCCACATTGGCACTAATTGAACTTTGACATCTCGTTGTTTGTTGCATTCATCGTAGTTTGCCCAAAGACATTTTAGGCCAGTTAAAATTTAAGCCATTGTAGCTATGGATGATCGCTCGATCTATCCTACCTGATGTCGATATTACTTAAATTATCCGTCTTCCCGTTGCCGTATTGTAACATTACCTTTGATTTGGGATCTTCCTTAAATTCAAGATCATGAATAAATTAAAATGTAGTGGTATACCTATTTAATTATGGATATTTAAAGTGGCATGTTGTATAGAAATTATTTATACTGGATTCAGATAACTTAAGTATTATGTTATAATTATTTGTTATACGAACAATATTCTATTGAATACATCATTTATATATTAAAATTGGAATAGCAAAACATTTATAGAGGTTTCTTGGCGTCATTTACAATCGTATACATGTTTATACATTTTGTACAAAATAAAGGTCAAGTTCTTTAAATGTTAACAGACCATCCATCAGATGAAATATAAATTTGTTGAATTCAACGAATAATATTCTAATAAGAAATAAATAAGATCTGATATCCATAATAGTTTCTTGGATTTTCTAAAATCTTATAGATATAATTTGCTTTTTATAAAACATGCCATTACCACGAAACGTTTTTCTTTTAATTTAAAACTTACTTTATATTACTTATTAGTTTCCATTTCAAAATTAAAATCATAAATAAATAATCTAGTTTTTCGATGTACGTGTATAATCTTTATCACTCGTGACTAATTATATATTGTTTAAAACCATTTAAATAATACCGATGTACCACCTACGCCAGAATCTGTATACATGTGACCAGTTACCCATGTATTGTATATGTGTGTGCATAAACATAAATATATTTATCTTCATACAATATTCATATGTGTATATATATATATATATATATATATTTATATTGTATGAAGATCTTATCTCCGACTCTGGCGCTGGTCGTCGTCAAGGCAACACTACTCTCGATCGATACAACCTCTCTCTGCTACTCACACCGTCCCTACACAAACGGTCAACCTTTGAACTATATATACATAACTACTACATAGTGCTTAATCAAATACTTAAAATATAGTATGTAAGTTACCTACTTTTACAAAAAACAAGTATGTACATTAATAGAAAAGTTGTTGTAAATCATATTTATTTAAATACTTATTTTATAATATATACCCTAAGATACCTATGATAAAAATACTAATTGAAAAAAATAAAAAATATGGATTTAAAATAAAAATGAAATTGTAAATGTATAGTATACTCAATGGTTTTAAAATAAGTTAACATAATATTTTTGTTTCGTTATAAACATTTTATTTAGTTACTATTTTTAATTTATTCAATATAATAATAATCATAATAATCATTATAGTATGTGATAATGTGAACTAATTTTAGTTTTCTCTGTAAATAGATAAAAATATATATATGTACAAATTATTAAGGTTATTTAAAAATAAAAAAATCAATATAAATATTCTTTTTTTTTCTTTTTTTACTAAACACAACTCTGTGATTATAACAAGATATAATATTATGATAAAGTATTATCTTTTAAATTGACTCAATAGTCAATAAGTATTAATTTTAGTATTATTTTATCACAGTTAAATTTAAATTTATGTTTTTCATTAGTAATTAATAATTAGATAATATGCATGTATGTGTTACTGAATATATATTTTTTTTAAATGTTACTGTGATTATCAAAACATTAATAGTTAATCATGGAAAACTTATAAGGCTGAAGATCCCGAAATATTTCAATTAAGAAACGCTGACAATTATATAATATAAATCATGATAATTTAAATATTTAATTATTAATTAATCAAAAATAAAAAAACACTAAAAGAATATTGGGAATTTTTATTAAAGTCATATTGATATCGGTATTAATGATTACATATAATTTGTATACTGTAAAAATGTATACTATTGTTATAAATAATTCAGTTACTACGCATAGAATTTGATTAAATTATTTTAATATTTAATAAAAACAAAAATTATTTATAAATCACATAATTTAAAATTTTCTAACTAGAAAAATAACTTGAATTACTTTACAATATCTATAGAAATAATAAAAATATAAAGCTAATAAAATATATATAATGGATACAAATACCAATTTCATTACCTTGCATATCTTTCTACGATATAACAATAACAATATAAGTTTAAGTACTGACCTATAAACATGAAGTAAATAAAACGATGAAGCAGTGCATTGCTTTTACTGTCAAAAATGACGTCCTAAGCAGCTTAAATAATCACCATTAAAAAGAATATTATTTCAACTTTTGGAGCTTCTCCAAATATTATATTACAACAAAGTTCTTTATAAATTAAAAAATTTTATAATAGTTTTTTGTCCAAAATAATGTATCAACAAGTAGATATTAAAGCATTTTAATAGTGCGTGTAGATTGCTTATTTTAACTTAATATAATTATAACACGCTAATGCTGACATTTTTAATAAATTAAAATAAAACTACAAACCTGAATTATTACATAAACTTAAATACTGTTAAAGCCATTAGCATTTTTTAACTTGAATATATTTTCTATACATTTTCTTATTTATCAAATAATATGTACAATATGTATACATTTTAAAATCTACACACGTTTATTGACTTCAAATGTAATGTTATAAAATTTAAATTAGGTTAACCTATTACTGCTTCTAATTTTAACACATTTTAATTGTTTATTTTAATGTTATTATTTGTATTGTAAATTTTTAACTTACATATTAGTTATTTATGTATCTGAGTTGCGTATTTTCATATCGATAGAATTCTTATTACTAATTCTGATCGGGAAAAATCTACATTAACACTCTATCCCCAAATTATTACTGATTTGAAAATTTGAAATTGTAATAAATAATTTACCTAATTCCATTAGATAAAATAAACAAGTATAATTTACAAAATATTTAAAAAAATTTCACCAAAAACAATGTATGATATATTTATTTAATAAATTTAAATCGTGTTATTTATGTCCTATAAACCTTACTACCTTTGTAGTAATATATTGCTATCGTTACTGTATTTACTCTATATGATATTTCATGTAGAAAAACGTGTAGCGCCATTCGTTAAAATATGTTCTTTAATTGAAATAATAATAAATAATATAAACAGAAATTTAGTTTATAATAATACAGTTTATTGAATTCATAATTCATAATTACGGTTGTGATAATGATTTATTGTGTAATTAAGTAATTTAATAAATGAATCTATTTTTTTAATCTTAACACGTAAAACAAATGTATTTTAAGAATTTACCAATTTCATAATTTGCATTAGAGTACCTACTATAAACAATAAGATTTTTATAGATTTGTATTTTTACTACTACAGTTGGCCAATATGTAATCGACTGTTGTTGGTCAAGCTACGATAATTACAGGATGTATGATTTAGTTCTAAGTCCGTGTAAACAGTAATTGAATCTTATCTCACATTTGACTGTTGAAAATGTAACATTAAACAAATAACGTTATTACACGTGAAAATTAATAATTAAGACTCGAAAATTAAAATTTGACAGTTTATTAGCTACATTTTTTTTTATATACATAGTGATATAGTGATTCATTAAGCATATTCACCCCTTTTTCACTTTAATATTGGATTTATCCAAATTCTGATTTTTGTAATTATTAAGAATAACTATAATTTCAAATTTTTGATATATTTGTATTACTTCATAAATACCACGTGGTAATACAAGCTTCTATTTTTTAAACAAGAACCATTTTTTTAACTGTAAATTATTTAGTGAATATTTTTTTTTTATAATTTGTATGTATCTAATTTAAAATTTTAATGAGTAATTTCTAAATTACTTAAATGTTTATACTACGAACATTGGTCCTTAAAATAATTAATTAAAATGGTTTTATATATTTCATCTAGAATTTAATGTAGTAATCTAATAAAAATCCATTAACTTGGACTATTTTTATAAATTATAAATGTTGATAGATTAATATTAATAACTAAAATTAACCACTAAAATCTCCACGTCTACTTAACCCATTATCATGGACCTATTATCCTTTAATACACTAAAATAAACAAAAAAAACCTAAAATATTCAAAAAATCAGATTTTGAATAATTGCATTATTGAAGAAAAAGTTGGTGAGCGTGCTTGATGAATCACCTTATGTACAATAAATAATAATGAAATCAAAATTTTACTTTATCATTATTATACATATTGTGTTGTACAAAAATGATTCAACCTAATCCAATAAACAATTTTATTGCACTTGGGTTTGAAATTTAGTTATATTTTGGAAGAATGTTAACTAAAATATAAAATAAGAACTGTAATTAACCTGAAAACTATTAAGGTGTTTTGATACTTATATGGCTTTAATATACAATTGACAGACTATTTATAATTCGATATATGACTGATAAGTTTAAACAATGTACTTTTATGTACTATAAATTATGATCAAATTGAAGACAGAAATAAGATATCAATTTTAAATATTCGGGACAAATTTACATACATATAATACTAATATTAATATTTCAATTGCTCCAAGCTTAATAATCAACCTTGTTTTTTTAGAACCGGATGCAAGAGAGTTTAAAGCTTTTTGATTCAATCTGCAACAATAAATGGTTTACCGACACGTCTATCATATTGTTCTTGAACAAAAAGGACTTGTTCGAAGAGAAAATCAAGAAATCACCGCTCACAATATGTTTCCCAGAATACGCAGGTATGTTAAACTATGTATAATAATGATATCTTAGATGACCATCACATGTTGTTAACATATTATATATCAATTTCAATATTAATGCTATTGTTGTTTATTGACAGCTAGGTAACGATTGAAAAAAAAACTTATATTATAAATTAAATTATACATTTTCTGACGCAATCGACAAATTTTACCAATTTTATTTTCTTGATAAAATGAACAATTAGACACTTTATTATGTTCAAATAAATTTGAAAAATATTATTATACTTTTTTAAAACCTACTGTGCATGGCCTGTATAATTTATAAAAAACATTAATTTTCCGTCCTCCAATTCCATAGTCACTATACTCTAAATAATGAACCATATTCCAGCGTGGTTTTAAATTTTGAATTTTACGTTTCTAACTTTTATAGGTGTGCCTACGCATATTAATTGTTGATCAGATTCTTCCAGAAAAAATAAAATTGAAAAAAAAAATGATTTGAATTGTATTAAAAATTATAGTGAATAATTATTTTCTATCTATCAAAATTGTATTTTAGATGTATATTTAGTCTATGTAGAAAACCAAACAATTAACTTCATACTTCAATACAAAACTGTATTATGCTTTAAATATAAAATAATTTCAATTAATAATCAACAATAATATTAGTTATCTGCAAAGTTTTGACATTACTTTTACTTCCTCCTTACCCCGCAACGCATTCCGCTTCTGTTCGCTAAAATGTCTGCTGATGTGCCTCAATATAATATAATATATTTATAACCGTGATATCTACCAAATGTATTAATGACAATTTTCTAATTTTCCGTCTGGTTCAGGTGCCCAAGAGTACGGAGAAGCTGCTGCCTATATCCAGGCGCAGTTCGAAGCCAAGAACAAATCCACCACCAAAGAGATCTACTGTCACATGACATGTGCGACGGACACAAATAACATACAGTTTGTGTTCGACGCCGTCACAGACGTCATCATCGCCAACAACCTAAGAGGATGTGGACTGTATTAGATCATACTGCGGCGCCGTTTAAGCAGTTTACACGCGTAAAAGGTCTGTTTACCGTTTATTACGGTGGCCGTTGTTATCGCATTAACCGATTTACTTTTACAATACCTAACTATAATATCATTGACGTGTCTATCGCATCCGATCTATTCCTAAAACTTACAACCTTTCAATCACTGCGAGCATAAACACCATAAGACCAATTTCTTACCTTTATATTGGAGCCAATACCAATTAACCGAGTGATATTATTTCATCATAACACGCATTTTCGTCGTTTCATAACTAGCTGTTTAACTGTTATTATTTACCCAAAGCATCGAACGTGTAAACACTTATATACATTCAAATATGAAAAATTAAATTTTTGTTTTTAAATTTAAAAAAATTAATCCCTAAAATGCTGAAATACACCGAGTATGTTATGTGTCTTTATTTCGATAAAACATGAACATATGTAATTAGTAAAACTTCAATCATATACACTCGTGATCATATATAGCTCTATTGTAATTATTAGCATTATTTCCTAAAAAAAAAATAATGCAATCAATGTGCTTTCAATTAATACAAATTAATTTTTAAATATTTAAATTATTTTATTTATTATTTAGGTACCCGTGTATATTTTTTTTAATTAATATAATTTTTTATATAAAAGAATATAATAATTTTAATTTTAAATAAATTTTTATTATCGTTGAGTTAATTTTATTAAATATATATATTAGTTCATAATAAATTAAACATTGTTTTAATTGTTTCATTTAACATAGTTTAATAATTTTTATGTTTACAGGTTTGATTTTAAGTACATGAAATTCAATGCACATATTTCCAAAATGGCCGGGTTCGGTGTTCATGTTAATTTAAGGAGACGCATCGTACAATATGAAATACACATACGCACACATATTACCTAAAAAAAAAATGTACCATAAACGTGTTACCTATCCTTTTTATTTTATTTTAAGTTTTGAACCAATTTTAAAATTAGCTTAAAAATATATTCGAATATTATATTTAAAAAAGAATAGGTATAATGTTATATAAAGTTTTCATTTCATTAATTTTATAAAATAAACAATATTGAATATTATCTATATATTATAATTTTTTTTTTTTTTTTTTTTTTTTTTTTTTTTATCAGAACAAATTTGTATTAATTGAAAAGATGGGTATAAAAAAATCATGTATATGATAAATCAATTCATATGCTTAATATTGCACAGTAGTTTACTTAACAATTTCAACAATTTTAAATTCAAATGAGTATATACTTAAATAATATACGTGAGGACCAAACGTAAACAAATTACATTTTGACTAACGAACAAAATCAGACTTAAAAAACTCTCAAAACAATTTACGCACAATTTTCTACTGTCATTATATTAATCAAATATTATAATCAAACCAGCATATCGATAAACCGCTATGATTTACGAGTATTTAATGAAAATTCTTCAGTGCCTATTATTATTTAACAAAAATAATTCAAAAATAAATGAAAATTGTTGTAAAAATTTAATTAAATAGCCATAATATTCTAGCATTGAAATTCTATACATTATATAGATAAATTTTGTTTTCTGTGTAAATATAAAAAAAGCGTAGAATAGATTTGTTTAGCTTTTAATCACTTAAATTTAATTATATACGAAACTTAATTTAGGAAAGTAAATGTGAATACAAAATTTACACATTATAATTATTATTACTATAACTAATTGTACTACGGCACAGTGATTTTTATTCAATGTTTTATTCAAACCAATTTTTTTAAATTGTTTACATTAAAAATAATTAAGAATAAAAAATAAAATGAAAATACATTGTTATTAAGGCTTGACAGAAATAATTAAAAATGAAGCCCACCTTTTATGTAAGTGTAAATACAATTTTTTTGGAGTTTAACAAAAATTAAAATTAAAAAACCATGAGTATAATCACTTTTTCCCATTTTGTACAAATCTTGTTTCCTCTACCTAAAAACAAATAGAGCGAGGAAATAATTATCGTATTATATTGTTTCACATCGAAGTTGTTGGTTCTTATTGAGTGCAAAATTACATAAAATTATATTTAGGTATTTATTTACCCATTTTTGTTTTCATGTATTTATGATTTTTTTTTTTTATTATTATTATTATTTATTTTAGTATTATAATATAGGTTTATTTTGTACAAATGTTTAAAAATAAAATCCTTGTAAACAAATTCTGTTCTAGTCATAGACATTTATATTTACAAAATTATTACTAAATATTATAAAATAATAATAATAATTACTACTTATATTAATAATAAAATTGTCTCCGTACAAGGTTGGACATCGTTATCTTTATAATTTATTATAATGTGTTTGATTGAATTATTATTAAAAAACAAAAAAAAAAAAAACAAAGTTAGTTTTGACTAGATTATTGCGTTTATATTTCCATTTCTAAAATCTAGATTTAAAGTACTTAAAGTTTTTCCAATCGATATTTTTTTATTGACATATTCAAATGTAAAATAGTTAAAAATTAAAATTTAGTTAATAATGAGGATGAAGAATATCATAATGTATCATCATACATTAGTGATAGTGATACTACAAAAATCATAATTCATAACAATAGCTTGATTGTAGTTGTAACCATGGTCTACATTTTATAGATTATTTACTTATATTTATATATGAATGAAATGTGAATGACACATTCATTATTTCTTATATATTAGCCGTAAATGTTTGAAATGCCTAATTTAAATTTAAAAGTACTTTTAATAACTGTCTAAAATTTCAATACAATTTAAACAGCTTTGATGGATGGCCTAATTCAATAGATTTATTGTTAAGGTTGGATAGGTCTAAGGTTACGTCATACTTTAAAGTAAATTCATCTTAAATTTATAAATATTCAATCTATGGTATTGATATGGTATTTTGAATTCATGATCGGCCTTTGATTTAAACTTAATCACAGTTTAGGACCCACGCATCCCATTGAAATGGTAAGTTGTAGAATTTTGAAAGTTCTTGGCATTATTTAGAGATTGGTGGAGAATTTCAATCAATAATTTATATTATATTGTACATTAGTATACTCTATCCACGGATATGACTGTAGTTTGTTATCTGTATACAGCAAATAATTTTATTAAATTAAAGTCTGTTTGATGTACCTTTTTAAAATTAGCTGGACCCTTACTGAATATTTTTATCCACTCCATGATTAGTTATCTATACTCTTATACCCACCAAGTGGCTAAGGGCTGTATTGATTGACGAAACATCGACATGTTTTAAATATACAACTTTTGAATAATTTATTATCTTATAATATAGATTATTCTACTCTACTTTCATTTTAATTAACTTCAAAGTTCCGCAGCTTATCTAACATACGTTCACGAGTTAACCAACTCATATATGTATCACATATGATCTATAAACTTATAAGACTAAGAATTGATGACTATTGCTAATATACTCGTAAATATAAGACATTTATAAAATATGGAATACCGGTTTTTTTTTTTTTGCATTTTTATGGTTAAATAGCAATAAATTTAAAATACATTTAATTGTTAAGAGTTAATTATTTTTTTTTTTTTTTTATGGTTTAAACATTGAAAATTAAATTCATGAATCTAATCATTAAAATACAAATATTAAATTTTTGTTTTTTATAAACGTCGAAGTGTTTTTGAATTGTTAGGAAAAGTAAATCCTAACACTTTTTTCATTAAGCTGCACTTATCGTAAAGTACTACAAATTTAAAGTTAGTACTTAGTATTCTGTTTATTATTATTAGAAAGTACGTATATCGGTATATCACGATACAATCGCTATTAATTTAACAATATAAAACAAAAACATATTATATAGTCATATAAATTAAATGATTCCTGATAATTTTTAAAAGTTAATTATATCATTTATAATTTATAGTTATTAATTCGTATCAAGTACATACCGTATGTACTACCTAACAGTTACGGTATGTAAAATATATATAAATGTATTAATGTATTATCAATAACCTAAATAGTGCATTTTTTTCGGTTATCGTGTATTTATTATTTATGCGTCAATAGTTTTTCCATACAAATGGAATGTAACGTTCTCAGGATTCCTTTTATTGTCATATTCCAAATATGTAAGCCTAGAGAAATTATTTAAGTTTGAATTTGACGAAAGGTATTTTACAAAATGCTAAAATAGTGTTTGACATTTTTACCTCAACATTAGATTTTTGAAGGTATATGAAAAGAGATAAATTATATTTTTTATTCGAGGTCAAAGATAGAACAATATTAATATATTAAGTATTAAATGTAATCAAAAATAATATTAAAACAGACTGATCATCTATTCTGATCGTTGCCGTGATTATAAAACAGAAGAATAATTAGAAAAAGCTGGTTTCAATCATCTAACAGTTAACCACTAACACAATTTTTCAGATCCGACAACAGGTGTTATAAATATTGAACGGTTGTAAGTATTAGCTAAATGACGAAATAAAAAACAGAATAACATTTCATTAGCATTTCGATAACTATTTTTTTAAATTTTTTTTGGTCGAGTTTATGTGGTCTTCAAACAGATGGTTCTTTCGTCAAAATACTATTTAACATATCATAACAATTTATACCTCGTGTGAGTTATTAGTTTTATCAATTATATAAAATGCTCTATACTTAAATCAATATTATATAATATTTTATTAATGTTATTATTTGTTTGTCAATCGTGGCGATAACCAAAAAATACCTTCTGTGCATATAATATTATATACAGACTGGTATTATATTATTAATAACAAAAATATGAAATATAGGTAGGTACTCAAGACATATTTTTCAAGTGTATATCAAGCTTTCTTCAACTATTCTAAATATGCTCACTAATTAATATGCTTTTGAACGAGTTCGGGAGTCTATGGAGTACCTATACTCCATGGGATATCTAAAGCTGAGTAAATTTTAATAGGAACTATTTTATTATACTGTAATCAATGAAGTAATAAAAATAAAAGGAAAATTTTAGAGCGTTCTCCATTTTCAACATTTTTTAAGTCTTTAAGTATTAGGATCTACTGACTATATAGCCACGAAGGTGTGTCCGCATACTTATAACAAAGTTTGCGGGTTTTTCCCGTCGGACTTACGCTTTGAGGTTTAATGTTACATTGCACTCGTATTATCGATTGGACACTGTGGTATTATACTATTATTAAATTAGAGACAGTAGAGTGGTAGTCTGATAGACATAATATGATTATAAATGTATTTCAGTTAGTACTTAGTAGACACTAGGCAACAAGATATCTACGTTATAATGTAATTTTGTCACATTTTAGTAGCAGTTTCCGGTCGAACCGAAACGTTCGCAGTGTCTTTGACTCGGTCTCGAAGACGGCTGGCATGCACAGGCGCGATGATTGTCACATCTAAGCACATAGATGGCGTAATGCGTGAACACGCGATTTTTAACCACCAGGGGTGGGTGCGTTCGTCAGCGGTCAAAAATAATAATAATATTAATAATGATAATACGCCTCTCGCGCTCGAGGACCGAGGGTCCTACACACAGTCACTAAACGCCCGTAGCGCCGTGACGAGAGTAACGTCATTGTCGTCGTTGTCGCCGTTCCACCCGACGGGGGTAGTTTTTTTTCTCGGGTTTTTGTTTTTCAACTCGCCAACGAAATAATACTAAATACGAATTACGATTAAAATTCGTTTCGGTATGTTTGCGATGAGTTAATAATAACTATAGTGTTTAAAAAGTTACCGTATTTGTCTACTGTGTATGGGTGCGTATTAAAAGTAGCGTTTGAAAAATTGAAATAAGTTGCGGCAAACGATGACGAGACGTGATGCCGAGAAAAAGCGAAAAGGGCGACGACCGTCGACCGTATGAATGTTTAACAGAGAATAGAGTGATACTCGCCCACAACTGTGTCTATACCAGTGCCGTGTACTACAAATAGTATGTACGACTTTCGGTTGTTGTCGATGTTGCTAGCGACAGTCGTCGTCGTGGTCGGCGCAATGATCGGCGGTGAGTTGTCGGCCGTCGAAAAATCGTTACAGTTTGAAGCGGCGTTTCAAGGTAAGATTTCCAAGTGTTATGATAATGGTTTTGATAAAAAATAAAAACCTCAGAAGTTCCAAGATCACTGGAATAGCTTAACCTATAATTTGATATTAGAAACTAATATAAAATAAAATATTTAAAAACTAAATTTGCCGAACATTCTAAAATTATTGTGCACACATAATTTGTTTTAGCATTAGAAGTTAAGTGCTTAATTTTGTCTGTAGTGTAAAGACTGTAAAGAAATATTGGTTTGTGGATTAAGCTGTTCTAGCGTTATAATATGTTCTATTATCATATAAATATCCAGTGCAGTTTTAGCGAGTTAAATAAAAAGTATGAAAAAAATTGTAAATAGGGGATTAATTTGCGGTATTAACACGTACAATTGTTGTTGATTTCAATTCAAGCTTTGAAGAAGCTTTTTACGGTACAAAGATTTTTTTTAACATTTGTTTTCTCATTTAGTCCAATTCTTCGAATAAGTCACTTGCGCGTCATCGAGTACGATTATTATAAAATATTGACCTAGAAACGAATGAGTAAGAACTATCGTAATTTGTGTACCATACAACCTCGCAAACGTTGGCTAACGCGAGGTATGATCGTTTTTCAATACGGCCATCGGCCACCCTTATTAAATTATTCAACATTTGAGAATGATAATTATCTTTAATTTTCAATGTTAATGTGTCCCATAAACTTTAGTGGATATTAAAGTGAACGCTATTGAAATATATACGAATTATAAATAACTGAAGAAGTATCACTCGCATGATTAAGTCATCATTACTCCAATTTCTAAAGTTTTTATTGATAATGCTAGTTAATCTTACAAGTATATACATCGAATGAACGTGGTATTTAAATACTCACTGCTCAGTTTTATAGTAGACCAATTAGTATTCGTTATTAAAACTGTAACGTAATATACTAATTACTAATTAGTAATTATTAAAATATTTGTATAAGACTAATTATATAATAAATTTAAAAATTATCATAACAATTTATTGATATATATATAGAACATAAATAGATTTTATAGCATAAAACATATTAACAGACAAATATAATAGTCCTTATAATGATTATTAGAACCATTATATTTTTGCTATGTTCAGAATCTAAGACAATTATTTAATTGTAAAAAAAAATACTTTATAAAATGAAGCAAAAAAGTTCAGTTATAAATATTAATTTTAACACGAACAATTTACAACCTTAATACAATAAAATGTCTGTAATGTTTATGTAATTAATTGTATCATTAAGGAATTAGATTATTTTACGTGAGGTACACATAGCTAACCATAATGTAAAATGTTTACACAAGGCGTGTTGTGTATGCAAAATTAATACATGCTTGTATTGTTGATAATATAATGTCGTTCATTTATAAATTTTTTTTTTTTAAATTTAAATAACCATAATTTATTGTTGTCTATTCAGTAGGTTAGGAAGGTATTTAATAGTTAGATTTCTAAATAAACTATAAGGTGAGATATTACTGTGGACACTATGAAACAAATTTGAATGATTTAGCAGGTAAATCATTGTATTGTCGTGTAATAATGTAAGTAGATATACTAAATTCTCATACATCTTCGGCGAACATTACTTGTAATTTATTTTTGCAAAAAGGAAGTTTTGAAGGAAGTTTGAAAATCTCATATAAACATATAGTTTATGTATAAAGCGGATTTAACACTAAAACTGACAGTATAACAAAACACGTATGTTAGGGGGAAAATTGATAACACTCGACATAAATAAAATAAAATATAATGTATATATTATGTATAATATGATATTGAAACAAGTTATTCTGTTAATCAAATAATGAATGCTATATAATGTGCGCGTTATAGTCACAATTATGGTACATATAGAAGCTTTATCTGTGACCCTTTACGCGTATTAGTCATTTTATGGTAGACGCTAGAGAGCAAACCCCAACAATAATAACCTATTGATTATTAATTTGATTTAACGGTTCGTTCAACAGATTTATTTTTAGTCACTTTTGTACTAATAAACATCACTTTCGCTTATGAATTTATGAAGAATATTAGAACAGTAAAAAAGGTATTTTAATTGAATTTGTTGGGAGTACTGCGGTAATTAGCAATTCAGTTTGTTTCATGTATCCCAGGGTGAATAAAAGTATACTAATTCAAAAATATATTAACGCATATAAAATTAAAATAAAACAATATGCTTAATCGCATGCACAGTATTATTTTTTATTTTCTATATTTTAAATTAAATAGCAATTCATTTTTACTAAAAATATGTCGATGTGTTAAATTGTACATATTGTATTCACCTAAACTATTACAAGGTTTTATGTACTATAAAATCTTAAATCATCCGATTTAAATTGATACAGCATTTAATTTAATAATTTTTAAATTTAATGTTATTTTTATAATACTTATAGTTAAATTCTAAATGTTTAACTATTACGTTATGACAACCGTAATACTTAATTTTATTGTATTTGTTTTTATAAATAAGTGAATAAGTGAAAAAAAAATAAGACTTAAATATCATATAAAAATAATAATATGTACAATAACAATCGTTCCTATTGAAATTTTGAGTCCATGTGTTATTTTTAAATCCTTTTCATATTTTAAAATGTATACAACGGAAGTCGAAATATAAATTAGAAAGTTCAAAATGTATGTGACTATTACAAAGCGATGTTATGTAAAAATGTAAAATACTATAATGTTCTATTCACTGTAAAATAATCAATACACATCACGCACAGACATAATAAGGTAATAGTTTCCAATGAAACGAGTACCTTTCACCTATTGAACTTTTTAGTGTTTAAAACTAAATAGTTATTTATAAATGTTTTACTTCCTACATGCATGAGATAATAATTGTTAAAAATTAATATTTTTATGTAAAAATATATATATTTTTTAAAACATTTTTCGTTATGTTTTTTTTATATTTTTTTAAATAGAATGAATATAAAATGTTTTACAAAGAAACTTGAATTGGTCTGAAAAAATATTCATTTTTTTCTTTTTTCCTTAAGCTCATATCGATAAAATGTAACAATATAGAACATTTATTTAAATGTCTTAAATTTTGTAAAACCTACTTTAAATAATTTAAAAAAAATTAGTTAAAATCTATGGATTTTATACATAAAAATAGGAAAACATTTTGAAGAGAAGAAACTCGAATTCAGAAAAAATTTATTTAAATCCATAAAATTTGTTAAGGTCTAGTTTTATTTTCATGATTTTTTTTCAGCTTATATATTCAATATAGTTATAAAATATATAATAAAATATGATATTTATTTTTTTTATTGATGGTAATAATTAATATAATAACTTATAATTATATCTATGTATAATTTGATCTTTTATATTTCATACATGTAAAAACCGATTGGAATTTATATTTTTAGACAATTAAATAAATTAAATTAAATCGAGTAAAATATAAACGTTCAAATGTAATTTTACTTTTTAGAACTATAGAAGGTGACCAAAGTTTAAGTCTTTGAATGGATATATCTTAATATATAAAGACTCATATTATGTCCCAAACTTTAATTATTGACACCAATTGACTCAAAGTTTGATATTGTTTTGTAAAATAACATAATTACGAAGAAATAATTAATTAGGTAACTAAAGAGATCCACTTTCAAAAACTTTTCAAGATGATTAAAAAACACTTAAATGATTTGAATTTTTTTTAAATTATTCTTACTTAAGATTTTGAATTCAATATTTTCCTTGAAGATATTGGAAATGTATGAACATCACAGCTGTTTCGTCTTATTCTATATACATTTTGTAAACATGAAATAAACTTGACCAAATATAGACTTCTCTGCGTTTTCTTTACAATTATAATTTTTATTTTCATTAAATACTTTTATTATATTATTTTAAATTAAATTAAATTATACTTAACATAAATCAATTTATAGATTATTAGAATATATGCATACTACTTAAATTTATTTATGAAATTAAAATGTGATTATTAAATGTATGAAATAATCAAATAAGTCCGGATTTATCTGATTATAATAACAAATAAATAAATAAAATCAGATAAGTCTATTTTATATCACACTATACTAATATATATATATATATTGAATTTATCTGGTTATCACGCCGACTTGTAGGGAATTCTTATTTTTATTATATTTAGAAAGGAACACATTTTCTAAAAAACTGAAATCAACTGATTTTTGTAGCAAACTCTTTATTATCAAATATAATTGTGTGGTATCTATAAAAGTTGTATTTTATTTTATTTTTAAGTTTTTTAATCTATTTAAATAAATTATAAAACCAATCTATTAAATTTAATATATTTATGCATCAGTTTTAATAAAAATATTTAAAATAGAAAAATGTTGTTAAGTACTTGATTGTACTTTACTTTTTACACAATATTTATAAAAACTTCTTTTTGAATAATCATCAACAATATTGAAAATAAATTTATTTTTATTATTATATTTATTAAAAAATGTATTTGAAATACAATAGAATATTTAATACATAAATTCATAATAAGTCTAATAATAAATGAATGGCTACATTTTTACAATTTATTAAAAAGTTTAATTCAATAAGGTTTTTATAAGTGTGTGAGATACCTGGATTATGGGTATTTTTAATTAATGTAATACTATATTAAATAAACTTCAGATCTACTGAGAAATTTAATTGCTAGAACTTAATTTACTTAAATATGTGAATAACCCATTTCAATATATTTCATTAGACTCATATTTCGAAAAGAAAGTTTCCTTAAACTCATTAATTTACCATCATTATAATTATTGTGCATTAATTATGTGTTTAATATTATATTTGTCTACACTTAAAAAATCTAGATCTCTTATGGTAATTGTTTTCACAAATACAATTTTATTGAAAAATGCGGAAGTTTAATTTAAAATTAAATAATTATAGTTTATAGGTATATTGCTATACGTATTATCTAAGATTGAATAA